CAGAGAATGATCTACTCTGCATGAAAAAAAAATCAATAAAATATTCTTAAACTCTCCTGACAAATCTATGGCAGTTCATTTGTCAGATTTCTAAAAAGAACATTTCACAAACGAACGTATTTTCCACAGGTCCTCTGAGAAATCATAATGCTACTTTTGATTTCAACAGTCTTTTGATTTCCAAAATATATTTAGGCCTCCATGATTTTTTTCTTTTGCAAAAGCAGGATAAATAAAATTTAATAATATTCATCAGTGAATTTCTCCTCACCTTATGATTGAAACTATTTTAACTGCTGTACTGTGTTTGTGGTACAAAATTCTTCTCCTGTGTTACACCAAACTGGTTTGGTTAATAATCACCCAAAATTTACAGTTTGGAATGTCTTTTTCAGAGTAACATGTTCAGTGTCAGGTGGTCTGAAAGAGCCTTTTAAATCACAAACTCATTCAATGGTCATTCAAGACGTGTTTTTAATACCTCCAATCTGCATTGTACTAAGCACTGAGGGTGTAATTGTGAACAAGAAATACACATCCCATGACTTCATGAAACCGATATTCATTCCAACATGTAATCATGATGGTGTTGCTGTGATTGATTAAAGCGGCAAGTCTAGTTCTTTTATGAAGTGTGAGCAAGCTACAAGAATATATTTTATATAAGTTAAATTTCATGTGCCTTCCATGATTTGTCTCCAAATCACTTTCCTAATAGCATCTGCAATCATATTTTACACATGAAAGTGGTTCTAGCCAGCTCTGGACTATTGGCTTTTTCCAGACTATCCCATGCCCTTTTCCCATTTTATCTATTTACTTGCATTGCTTCCTCATCCAGGAGCGAATTCTCCCCTCCTGGTCTCACCATCACTCCATATACTGCCACAACGCCCTCCTTTCTCACTCCATTTCTTGAAATCTTACCTAGCTGACCCAGTTTAAATGTCACCTGAATCATGGTCTTTTTGTCTGGGTCCCATTTAGATTTAACCATCTCTTTTCTTTTTCTTACAGTGTCTTGATGATATCACATTTTTTTTAGCATTTATAGTACCTTATTCTTTCCAAGATTCACTACATATGTCTGCATCTCCCAAGTTATATTGACAGTTAACTTTCGTCTGCATATACAGGCACTTAGCAATTTTACGTTGAACAAATAAATGAAAAATAGTCAAAAAATGAGTTTGAAAACAGACGTTTCTGAATACCATCTTTTATAACTTCCAATTACTTTTGCTAAGAAGTAAACATATTTAGAATCCATTATTTCAAATAAAAGATGGTGAGTCTGTCCTGTTTGAAGCAATAGCACAATATTTTGCTGAGAACATCAACAGCAGTAATGAATGAAGCATCTGGTTATCCATATTTATAGAGAAACATCACATACATATTCTTCCATGAGGTTGCCATTAATAAAATTAAGGCACTGAGAAGGTCACTTGCTTTGCTAAGGCCCCGTATGCTCTACTTCTGGTTAAAACCTGTTTTAAGTATTGTTTAAATGCAAAAAGCCAACTTGTCTAGCACATTTAATCATGTTAATATTTTTATAGTACATCATATTAAAGAGACAAAAAAGAGCAACAAAATGCTGTATATATCAAACTTAATTCTTAAGGATTTTGGAAATCTTTGAAAGACATGAAATGTTAGTTTATTTTAGGGTCTTAAGAAACATAAGTAATAACAGTAATTTAAAGTAAATTTATGCTCAAAATATAAGAGAAATAAATCAAGAGGGGAGGGAAGCTCAAAATAGGAAATAATTCTGGCAGAGAAAAAGATAAATTGGAAGCAGATAGAAGCTAAATTATATAGATAGCAAGGGAAATAGAACCAATATAAGAGGAGTGAAAAAACAAAAGACAAATTTTAGAATTTTCAAGTGGGTAGGAGAGGGAATTAAAAGGAAACAGGCTGATCATATTTCATAGATCTCTTGAGTTGTTAGACAGACATTTCAAGCATCTCCCCAAAGAGAAGACTGGGAGAAGCACATACCACTAATTTAAAATTTTTTTGTTTGGGACACATACCAGGGAAGAAACAACTGGCTCACCCCAACACTGCCAATTTCCCAGTCACATTTCTCACCATAAATGTACAATAGCTTAACATTGCAAGGATTTTTGAAAGATCATTTAAATAGGAGTTTTTTTTCAGTCCACATTTATGATGCTTGAATTCCAAAAATACTTAATATTGATCTCAAAGCCATAACCAAAAAATAACCTATCATTCAAAATATTTAAATTGTTTATTAAAAAATTCAGCATTGTAATTAAAATCAGTGGAAAGTCTAGATTAAGGAAGGGTCTGAAACTTGCCTATAACACGTTCAGCAAAACATTCTTTTTCAAGATCTGAGGCCCATGAAACCACAAGATTTAACTCTGGAATATACTTAACTTATGGCTGTCAACCTCATTCCATATACAAAACCCTGGAGTGACAACATTTGTTATGGTATTATTCTTAGGCTGTGAATTTGCTTATAAGTCAAACAATAGCACAAGAAGTCCTATTGCTTACAGTAATGAACCCCCTTAAAAGAGATCGAAGACAGACACATCTTATGCTTAACTGTAGTTCAGTAAACAAGGCAAGGAGAAATGAGTGCGACAGATTCTATGATTAATGTTTCTATTGCCTGATCTTGTGAAAAACTAAAATCAGTAAAATCTAATGAGGTATGTTTTCTAATTATCATCCCTTTGAAAACTACGGGGTTGGCCACAAGTTCATTGGTTTCCCCCTCCTCCGCCCCGCCCAAGATGGCTCTAGTAGTGCTTAGTTGTCTTTATCTTCATTTAAAACAATTTTGTTAGATTGTATTTGACAGCTGTTATACCAGCTCACATTTTTTCTCTTTTATTTTTTTAAATTTTTTTATTGTTGTCCAATTACAGTTGTCCCCATTTTCCCCCCATTACTCTCCCCTACCCTACCCCCAACCTCCCGCAATCAATTCTTCCCCCATTGTCTTTGTCCTTGGGTCCTTTATACAAGTTCCTTGACTTGACTTTCCCTTCTTTCCCCTGTTATCCCCTTCCCCCCTCCCCTCTGGTTACTGTCAGTTTGTTCTTTATTTACATGTCTCCAGTTTTATTTTGTTGATTAGGTTCCACTTACAGGTGAGATTATATGGTATTTGTCTTTCACTGCCCGGCTTATGTCACTTAGCATGAGTTTTTCAAAACTGGTAGATTTTTGTGTAGCCATTTTAATAATGAAGATGGAAGAAAATATGCAACATTTTCAGTATATTATGCTTTATTATGTCAAGAAAGATAAAAATAGAACAGAAACACAAAAAAAAGATTTGTGCAGTCTATGGAGAAGGTGCTGTCACTGACTGAAATGTCAAGTGGTTTGCAAAGTTTCATGCTGGAGATTTCTCACTGGACTATGCTCCACAGTCAGGTAGACCAGTTGAAGTTGATAGTCATCAAATGAAGACATTAACTGAGAACAATCAACATAATACCATGCAGGAGATAGCCAACATACTCAAATATCCAAATTAATAAAGTTATTGGTAAAGATGAAAAATGTGTATTTTATTTTACAGAAAGAACTAAATGGACTTTTAGGACAACCCAATACCCTCCCTCGGCCTGACCCTAACATTTGCAGGGTATGGGGCAAGAACACAATGTCGGACTACTTTTAAAAAATATTTTTATTTTTAAAAATATGAAGTAAACCAAGAAATCATTAAATAAATTATGTTCTAACATCCTATCATGACAAATATAATTTTAAATAACCTGGAAGTCCAGATTTGAATTTAAAAAAATTTGTTTTTCAATTCTGATTTTTTTATTTTTTTTAATTTATAAATCATGTTTACTCTATTACAGTTGTCTCGTGAATTTTAAAATTTTTGACTCTTTGAGTGATCAAAGGCCAACAATGCTCTGACAAACTGGCCTTGACTTCCCTGACATCCTAATCAAATGTGCCGAGGCCCTTTTTACCACAGCTTGTAAATTCTTTTCTATTTGTCTGAAATGGCTACCCTTGTTTTCCTAACCACATCTTCCTAATTTTGAAGGTTATAGCTTGAATTTTCTCACTGCTCAATACTCATGAGTCTTTCAGACTCTACTCAGTGTGTAGTGACATACATTCAACAACATTATTATGTGGTCACCACCTTGTGCCTCAGCAAGCTTTATGAGGCCACCTCTGCATTTGCTTACCGTTTCATCTCTGGCATCTAGCCAAGCACATAGCACATGGTTGCTCAAAGAATGCTTGTGAGCATAAGAATAACTTTTGGGGTTTCTTAAAAATGAAGATTTCCTACAGACCTATCCCATAAGTGATTCTGGATCTGTTGTGTTTGACCAAATATCATAATATGTTAAAAGCTAGGTTGGTATTATTTTTATTCTCTGTGGTGGTGGTGGTGTTGTTTTGTGACTCTTTTGTTCTATCCCCAACCTCCCTTCCACCTTGCATTGTTCCTAGTAGCTCTTTTGTCTATTTCCCTAGCACCCTTTAACTATATATTTCTTTGTTGTTTTTAGTCAGATTTTGAGAGGTAATGTATATAGTAATACTCATTCTTACTTAATGTATAATTCAATTCATGTTTATAAATTATATAATTTTGTTACCACCACTCCAAGCAAGATATAGGTCCCTTGCACTTTGCATATAGTATTTTTTGGTATTATTGTATTACATTATTTCTCCTTGTTTGCATACAGGTTTTCAATACAAGATTAACCTCCTTGAGAGAAGGAATAGCACCTACTTTGTTTTTATCTCATCACCCCCACCACAGAGCTTGATGATGTATGTTGAGTCAATGCATCAATAAACCAATTAATTAATTAATATAGTGCACTATCTTATGGAATATACTACCTACCTTGCACATTGTAAGTATAAAACATATTGATTAAATTGAACAACAGAAAAAAACTAACTCTCAATGTGTCAAAACCAACACCACAAAGTACATGAAATCCAGTGCTTACCATCTCCTGTTTCTGCACAGAGCTGTAAACCCAAATTGTTCTGTGGATTAATCACCCAGTGATTGCTGGTCACAGTGATGTCAAAGACAAGCCAACCCACATCTAAAGCTTGGGCCTTTCTTGTGTCTAACAAAAACAGATCTGCATCCCTAAGGAGAAAAGAACAACAATAAAAAAAAGTTAAAGGTTTGAACGAAAACCATCACTTCCTATTCTTAAGTGAAAACATTACAAAATCACTTTGTAAAATAACAGGAGTTAATTAAAGAACAAGGGAAAGAAGGGACTCGAATGATGAGTAATAAGATACAGAAACTTTTTTATTGCTAGACTGCTAACCCAAACCTGGTGCAGATTAGTAATATCTGAAAGTAATTTTCATTTTCCTGCTCTTCACTGGCCTTAACAAACTGACTTAGTGAGCCTGATTTGGTTCCTGATAATCAATGTTCCCTGAAACCACTGTCTGTAAATAGCTCTCACTAGCAAGTTCACAGGCAAGGATTAAACTGAGTAGAGGTGGAAGGGAAAGTAATTTCTCTGGGTTGGATGAATGTGGATTCTCCAAGGGATAGAACCCAGAGAAAGTTATCCATTTGTGTCAATTTTCATTATATATTTTTCCATTTTGTTATACATATTTTTAATTTTTACTTTATTCTCCAGTTTTATATGTAAATTATTTTATGATACCAGAAGTTTAAGAGCAGGTCAAAGAGTGCACTATTTGATTAAGGGGTAAATTCCATGAATTGAGTGAAAAATCTACCCTGATTTGCTTTAACATCTCCTACATGCATAAGTCTGCTGAGGACAGTAATAGCTATGAATATGAACTTGAATGTTAAAGAAAAATCTCCATAATGTTATTGATATTAGCATTTATCACTTAACTTTAGCATTAAATTTACAACTGTATGAATACTTGTTGAATTATGTTGAATTATTTTATTTATTTTATTCTTACTACAGGCAGCCTCTGAGCTAAATGTCACATATTTCTGACATTTAATCTTTACAGCAGCTCTTTTAGACTGATGAAATTGAGGCTCATATAGGTTAATGGTAAAACACTGGAAGACCTTCAAAGCAAAATATAAATATACTATTATGCATTTTATGACCTTTTATACTGTACTGAATCTGTTAAAGAGCTTATTATATATATGAGGAAAATCAGAACTATGTCATAATAAGCTATGTTAAATACTGTTTTACTGCATTTACCATCTATCTGCATCATAGAAGTCATTTCAAAGGCAACTTATAAAATGTAGAAAGTGAATTTTGAATAAAACTAAATCATGCACATATGTTAATTTTTTAGATAAATGTTCTATAATTAAAAATTAAACTTTTTTAACAGAAGTGAAAAATCTCAGTCAGTATTTTAGAGCCCACATTTCATTTCTTTATTTCAACTAGATTTATGCCATTCCTCCATTAACCTAGAGAAGATAAAATAAATTTATTGCGATCAATTAAATTGTCCAGCTAACCTACTCCAAACTATGCAACTTTCATTCTCCTTCACAATTTTCATCATAGTGTTTACCTAAGGAAGGTTGCAGGCACTTTTTTTATTCAGTATGTGACTCAGTTTGAGATACTGCTGACATAGAACAATCATGTGCCACAAGGCAATGAAAAGTTTCAAAAAGTTCCCACTTGAATTTCAAGAATCCATGATATTCACAGTATGCTGGACTGTCAAATTCTCCCCCTTACTTCTATCTTGGAAAACTCACGAAATAAACAAGCTCCAATGGAAGGTTATCCTTACGATTTTGAAATATTTAATAAATATCTTTGAGACTTTAATCTTAGAATTAAATTAATCATATTATTAGCTCCTTAAACAAAAGAGGAGTCATCTTGCATGTTGGGGAAATACCCAAGTGCTACCCTGCTTTCAACTGAAACATGGTAAAAGTGTTCTAATAAATCCCACAAAACTTATAATAACATCCCTTGGCATGATATAAGTAAACCCCTGAAAAACAAAGAAGAACAAAGGTAAATTTTGACAACAGTTTCAACAAATATCTTTAGGTAGCTATTAAGGTGGTATTTTCTATGATTTTTAAATTGTTCTATTTTTCTAGGAAAAACATAATCCCCAGAGAATCCATTTTTAAGTCTCAAAACTGTCAAGCATGTCTATAGGAAAAATGGTTCCAGTTTTAATAGATATATTTTTTAAAAGCATAAACCAAAGTATTCAAGCAACTCCTAAATATCTGAATTTTAGTGATATAAATCCCAATTCACTGGAATGTAAACCTAGGCAAATAGTATGTTTAAAAAAATTATGTATTTTTAGTTCACCTCTGAAAAGTTGTAAAGTTTCAATTGCTTTCATAAGCTTTATAGTTTCCTATTCTTGAGCAAAGCTACTTTATTTTTACTTTTTGAAAAAATATTATTTTTGATAATATGCATTCTTTAATCTCTCCTCTTATATAAGAAGCCCTTCTGAATTATCTATAGACAATAGAATATGCTTCAGGAGATCAGTGTTTTATTAATATTACAATGGTAATAATTCCATCATTTTCACTCATTTAGCAACTTTCATACAGCATATTAAAATAAATCCCCACCCATTCTGTAGATTTTTTCTTATGAAGTATAAAATTACTCCACTAAGGAATAACATTTATCTCACTGGAAATAGTAGAATATACTAAATAATTCCTATGAACAATATAAAATAAACTTGTTAAAGTTTCCCTGTCTTACTATTTTTACCTGACATTTCAAAAGAAATTTTTACAAATTTTCTTGTACTAAAAAGATATTATTACAAATATACTTGTATTAAAAAGAAACATCTGCAAATTGTCTTTTATTTAAAAATTTAAAATATTAATGCATTTAAAAGGAATACAGTAGAGAGAAAATATATGTAGTAAAATATATTCATTTATAGTATAATTAAGTCCATAATACAATTTCTTTATATTTTGTACGATTATAATAATGAAACTAAAATTAAAGTCTGCATTCCAGCCAAAAAAAAATCCATTTACATGGGGGTACAGGGTCCACCAAAATAATGCCCTTTTATTACAAAATCTTTTATTACAAAATCATAAGCATGTAATTCTGTAACATAACAATATCACACTCAAGCACACCCTATGACATTTTAGGTGAAATGTTCAAACTGAATCTATAAATTATTTCACCCATATTATCACCTTACCAACCACACTCACGTGGGCGTTACTTTTGCCGAACCCTCTATATGAGCAAATATTTCGTTACCTTCCTAAGGCTGCCTTAATAAAGTTCCAGGGATTGGGTGGTTTAAACAACAGAAATGTATTATCTCTGTTATGGAAGCTTGGAGTCCAAAATTAAGGTATTGGCATGATTGGTTGCTTCGAGGACTGTGAGAGAAGGTGTTCTAGGCCTCCCTCCTTGGCTTACAGTTTGCTGTCTTCTTCATGTGTTTTCATATCTTCCTTCAATGTGTATGCCTCAGTATCCAAATATTCCCTTTTTATGAGGCCAAAAAATTTTGTGCTCCAAACCTTTACACCAATACCACATGCAAAAGCAGCAGCCTTATATGAACTGTTTAACTGGGTCTCACAATATTAGAAAATCAGATCACTGTAATAAACCCTTATTCCTTTTCATTCACAATGACATTCTTTTTCTCAACGAACACTACTTGACATGCTCCCTGGTATGGGTTGTATTTTGTCCTTCAAAAAGATACATGGAAGTCCTAATTCCTGTGAATGTGATTTTATTTGGAAATACGGTCTTTGCAGTTGTAATCAAGTTAAGAGAAGGTCATTAGGGCGGGTTCTAATCCATAATGGCTGCTATCACTTTAAGAAGCAGCAGAAGAGACACAGTGATAGAAACACATAGTGGAAGACAGCATATCAAAAGAAGACAGAAATGAAAACTATGTCAAACCAAACCAAGGAACTTCTGTGACTACCAGAAGATGGAATAGGCAAAAAAGAATTCCCACCTACAGGACTGGTGGGAGTATCCTCTTAAAACACCTTAAATTTGCATATAGAACCTCCAAACTGTGAGCTTGGCTAAGATATGAAGAAGCAAAGTACTGTGCGGTTTGGGGTGGTAGGAGAACACAGAACCAAGTAGTGAGATTTTAGTTAATGCAAGAAACATGAAGATATTTACAGAACACACTTAAATTCATATTTATAAAATAGAACATCTAGCATTATTTCAACACAGGAAGAAATGTTCAGAGACAACATTGAAGTTTCCAAAATAAGTATAAATATATACTTTGTAACCTTTCTGTGACACTATCCTTGGAGTTCACATGTAAAATATCTTCATAAGTTAAATCACTTCTTAGCAAGGGGATTGGATAAACTAACATGCACTGGATGTGTCCTTAGATGGAACCCCTTTTATCTTTGGCTGAAATCAGTATTATCAAGGGTTTTGTATCATAGACTTGTGGCAAATAAATTATCTTGCTTGTTTCTAAATATGATTAGCAAACATTTCTTACTGGTATCTTTTATTGCTTGAACAGAAAGTTATAGGACTCAGAGATCCTTGAGGAGCCTCATTATAACTTTACTTTTATACAGCAAAGAATCATAGTTATAGTTAAAGTTGGTATCTGTTTAGTTTGAACAATGACTTCCTATACTTAGGCTTTGCTTGATATTAGAAAAAAATAATTAAGTCACTTTTCTGAACTTCTATTTATTCTTTAAATTAATATTAAAATGATATCTACCTTGTAAGTCTATGGCAGAGATAAGATATACAAATAAAAATACTATGCAAATTACTGTAATTGCAATTTTCTTATCAAAATATATTTATGTCATTTAAGTGTATGTCCATTATACTTGCTGGCAAAATTAGGGTCAGAGTGATTTATGCAATTATTACTCATAAATGTCTTTAATAACAAATTTTGCATATAGGAACATATTCATTTTCTTTAACTTTACTGACATTTATTGATACATGTGATCCATAGTAAAACTTTGTCTCTAAATTCAATAGAAAAAAATTAAGTTGAAAACTAATCAAAGAGAAGTAAAAATTATTTATATAGTAAACAATAAAAGATAAAGAGAAATATTCTTCAGTTTGATATAGTTTTCAATTATATGTATGCATATATATATAT